TTTTTGTTTTATTAGTATTTTTTTACGAAATTTGCTGTTCAAATTTACATGTCAAATATATCAACAAACATTTGTGGGTACTTTTACATCAGTCGCTGCCTATGGGTTAATGACAAATAAATCCTATACATTCACAATATTTCATGTATTAATTTTCAAATAAGCATATTGTCAATGGCTGGTTTACTGTATACTGTGGGAAATCCCATGATAAAAACNACGAAAAGCACCTAAGAAAATAAAGTGAAAGAGTAAACTGCATTGGAAATCGGAAAATTTAATTAAGTAAAAAGTGGTAATAAATAATATTATTATCCGTACTTCTTATTGCCGCAGTCATTGCCAAACCAATAGCGCTGCTTTCGGTGCCAGTTCCCTTCCACGAGAAAAGTTCTGCTACCTCATCTATAATAATTTGTTTTTAATTAATCATTTATTGACGCCCGCCTTTTTAATTGAGAAGCCATATTACCAATAAAAAAAAACTATAAAAAAACTATAGAAAAAGGGATGCAGAACGAACTAGATCTCATTTGGCGAATTTTGAACTAGTTCGGAACTACTGAAAAGGGGATGCAGCGGGGGGCTTGTTTACTTTAATAGACTTTTGCTGGGCTGGTTTTTCGTTCAAATACGCTTTCAGTCTGCACGTCACAGATGCTTTTTCATAGTTTGGTAATACAAAACTAATATTTGTGTTAACATCTTAACATTTTGGGACCTTCTGGAATATAACCAATAACAGTCAGCACCTCTGCAAATTCAGCTACAGCCAAAGGTATGTAAACGTGTTTTCAAATACACAATTTAGTTTACATTCATTCAAACAAATTTTATTTCAGATTGAAAATACATTTCTCTGCAAATAATTAAAAATTGCTACCATGGTAACCCAAAAAGAAATCATCTTGTTACTTTTTTCGTTTACAACTGGTTCAAAACTATAGAAAATGGGGTGCAAAGCGAACTAGGTCCCATATGTCGAATTTAGGACTGGTTATGAACTATAGAAAAGGTAATGCAGCGGGGGACAAATTCGCCAGTTGTTTGCATGCAAAAGAGATTTATCGCGAACTAGTTCTAAATGTACTGGAAGCGCACCAGTTCAAAACTAGTGATTTTCCCACTGGGGGATGATCGTCGACTGAAAGTGCGCGAGCTAGCAGATATAGTAGGAATTTCAAAAAGCACAGTACATCGCATATTATCTGAAGATTTGGAAATGAGAAAGCTGTGTCCAAGATGGGTGCCGCATTTGTTTACACTCGACCAAAAACATTGTCGTGAAAAAATTGCAATCGAGTGTTTAGCGAATTAATGAATTAATGCTTGAATTGCTACCTCGTGCAACCCTTTCGCCAGATTTAGCCCACTCGGGCTATTTTCTGTTCCCCAACTTCAAAAAATGGCTCCGTGGTCAAAGATTTTCTAACGATGAAGAAATGATGTCGGCAGTTATTGGCTGTTTTGAGGAGAAAGACGGTTCTTATTATAAAAAGGGTATCGAACTTATTGAGCATCGCTGGGAAAAGTGTATAGAAAGGATATTATGTTGAAAAATAAATATATTTTTTCCCATAATTTTTGCGTTTTCTTTGTTAGGTCGCGTACTTCTGGGACCACCCCCGTAAGCCATTGATATCTAGTTCAGTAATATAGGAATGCCAATGCCAAAAGATCTTAGATATATCGGCGGGTTCTGCAATTCACTTCCGAGTTAATTTGAGACAAGTTCGCTTTTAATTCAAAACCAGATATCGATGGCTGAGTGGAAGATCGACCTATCTCGGCAACCAGTTCGAAAACGCTCTATCTCAAAAAACTTTTCAAGAACGACCTATTTCTGAATTTAATTTAAAAACACCCTATCTCAGCTGCCGATTCAAAAAGGCCCTATATCAGCATATTTTCAATACATTTTGAAGTGAGATAGGGCGTTTTTGAACCGAATTTTTGAGATAGGGTGTTTTTAAATTAAATTCAGAAATAGGTCGTTCTTGAAAAGTTTTTTGAGATAGAGCGTTTTCGAACTGGTTGCCGAGATAGGTCGATCTTCCACTCAGCCATCGATATGTAATACTTCTATTTCCATTCGAAATCAAAGAAAGACAGCCTATGAAAATGTTTGTGATTGTAGAAGCCCAGTAGAACTTGGGAGCATCGTACGATTGCTCGGTGAGTACTCCCTTGGGAGTATACGAATACTCCCCATTGCTCCCTATGCTTCTGTGTATAAGCATGTAATTTTGTATACTCCCTTTAACATTGGATGTCCTAGGAGGGGGAGTAATCCCTTTTACCTCCTAAACGAGCAATCGGGGAGCACACACAGAATTATCATCCCACAAACCTCCTAATAGAGCAATACGGGAGTACTCCTATAGTTACCTCCCAGAAACCTCCCAAAAAGACAACAAGGGAGTGCACATAGAAAACATCCCATATTCCTCCCGAACGAGCAATAAAGGAGTGCTCTCATTAGAGACATCCCGAAAGCCTCCTGTAGGAGTAATAAGAGAGCAATGATAACGAACATTTTACATTAGCCAAATAGATTTTGCTATTTATTAAATTTTTGTATATAACTTTTTAATCACGTGCTTTTTTGCAATGTTACAAGATCTTAAAAATAAAACATAAATGATACGTCTTACATAATTGCTTAATTTTAGAATTATATTGCAGAGAAATCATATGAAATTAAAACATAATAATAAAACGGTAAGATAAGATTTGAATTATATGCACCTATATGAACATATAAGTATGTACTCCTTATGATTTCCTGGGTGTCAAGGATGCTTGCCTGTTCAGGAATCCACCAAGCGGGGAAATTGTGAAGGTGACTTTGCTTATCTGACATCTTTGTCACCCATGCGAAGTTTAAACCCCGGGGTCACACTTAAATGCTGACACTAATTTGCGCAATCTGGAAAGTATTTAACGGTGCATTTATAAGTAATACAATACATACTTAATATATTTAAACAAAAGTTGAAGTACATACCAACGGACTTTTATTAAAATCTGTGTGCAATCCAAATAAATTATTGTGTCCTCCTTATGCTTCTGTAAGAAATATTTTCTGTTGTTTTTTTTGTATGATAAATTTTTTCGAAAACACAAATTTCTTTTGAGTGAGGTGCGTATTGCTCTCCTATCAGTCAAAAAGAATACTCTTGGATTTCTCGCTTAGGAGACATCACTTTTTGCTCCTAAGCGAGTAATAACGGAGTACAAAACCGACAAATCTCGCTTATTGCTCCCAAATCATGCCTCAGGGAGCATTATTTCGTCGCTCGCTTAGGAGATCTCTTATTTGACTCCTAAACGAGTAATAAAGGAGTACAAAATCGACAAATCTCTCTTATTGCTCAGAAATCAGGTTAAGGGGAGTACTCTTTTATTCCTCACATAGGGAGATCTCCCTTCAAGTTCTAGTGGGAGTATACGTGTATATTTGTAAACTACTACAAAGAATGAAGTGCCATATCATAACAGGGCCGCTTCAGGGAATTCAACAAACAAACACAAATTTGACGGTATCATGTTTCCTTTACGCTGAAATGTATATCGAGACCTAGCTGCGAAAATGAAGTAACACAACTTTTTTCAAAATTTAATTTTGATGCATAAATGCCTCTTAGAGACCTGCATCAAAAAGTAAATAATAAAAAATATATATATATATCTACATTATTTTAGCGGTTAGGGCTCGGTATGACGAATTTCTCCGATGCTCCTCGTTATTTGGAAATCTGAAAAATTAGAAGATAGAAGATCTTTTCCTAACAAAGACAAAACTTATTTACACATAAAGCGGTGTGGTATTTTATATGTTGGCCGAATCCAATAAAGCACGTTATTCGATTCCCTTCTATGCTGATTGATGCCAATTGGAAATGCCAACTGATGGCAAGTCCTTCTCTAACTGGTATTTTTATCCTCTGCCACCACCAACGGCCCCAGCGCTTCTCATAGATTAAAATTTTTTTCTGTTAACTTTTCATAAGAGCTGTTTTTTTAAATAAAAACCACCACTTTTTTGGTGTTTCTTGTAATTTTTATTATTTTTTTTAATATTTTATTGCTGCATAATTAAATGGAAACTAAATCTTGTCTGATACATCGAATAAAAAAATAAATGACCTAGGTAGATATTTATTTATTTATTTATTTGCAGCTATAATCTAGAAAATATAAACATTTCCTTACAGACCATTTACAGTTAACAATTGCAATGTAATTACTAATTAAACTAGTTCATTCAGTAGCTGCTTAAACCTAGGTTTAGGTAATGAAGAATCAATGTCGGCAGAATTTATGAGCGTATTAAATTCTTTCATCGCTCTGGCAATAGGCGCATTATAAGCATATCGAGCCCTAACCGCCAAAATAACGTTCTCAAATGTTTCTGGATGTGTTAAGTGGGAGGTTAATCTACGCTATGTTGGGGGGAGCCATCATAGGCGTATTATTGTTGAGGTCGATAATGTTGCAAAAAGGCCCAATTTTTTTCTACAAAAGAAGAAACTTGCTTCTGCGCTTGCTGGATGTGTTGTTAAGGGGGGGTTGGATGAGATAGTTGATGAGGTACAAAATGAAATTAAGAAAGCTTCAATTGATTTGAATTCTTTAAAAAGAGCTCCTAAAGCGTGGTGGAATGACGAGCTAAAAAAGCAATATAGACTGGTTTTGGCGGCGAGAAAAAAAGCTGCTGTAACGAACAGTGTTCATGATTTTGAAAAACTACGTCAATTGGAGGAGGGGTGGAAGAAAGAGGTGAAAGAGGCCAAAAGTAAGAGCTATAAATCTAGAATAGTGCAGTTGAACGAATGCCCGAACTCTGTTGAAGCTTGGAGATTCGTTAATCAAGTGAGGGTAGTAGGATCAGTTCGAAATAGAACAGTGAGGATAATGGTAGGTATCTTAATCATCTGAAGAGTCAGGTAGAGCAGCATAGTGGCAATAGTGGTTGGCGAGTCCTAAGAGGCGCTAGTGTGACAAACGATAGTGATGAGGTAGTGAGATTCTTGGTTGGGGATCTTGATGGAGTCTTAAAACGTAAGAAGAAGTCGGCTGGGGGGATCTGATAAAATTACTTTTGAGATGATTAATGAACTTCCACATGAAACTAAAGTGTGCTTTGTGAAAGAGTTAGAAAGTTTTTTCAATAATAATAATGTTAAAGAGGAGTGGAGAACAATTAAAATTGTTCCAATTCCTAAAGCTAATAAAAATTTAAGTGACTATAGGAATTTCAGGCCGATTTCCTTACTCTCTGTAGTGGTAAAGTGTATAAATATGTTAGTTAAGAATAGGTTGTATGACTGGGTTGAAGGTAAAAGTATTTTACCGCGAAATAGTTTTGCGTATCGCAAGGGGAAGTCGGCATCGATGTGCCTAAATGAATGCTTGCATTGGGCTGGTAGGCTTAAACCGGGTAATAAGAAAGTGTTTATGTGTGTATTGGATATCTCAGATGCGTATAATTGTGTTGACATCTCACTTCTAGGGGATATTTTAGATGGTGTTGGTGTTGAGAGGAAGATTTGCAACTGGGTCATTAATTTATTTTCTAGGAGAGTTTTGGCTTTGGGTAAGGAAAGGGTTGTGGTTTCCAATGGTCTCCCGCAAGGGACCTGCTTATCCCCACTGTTATTTAACCTGTACACTGCAAGTTTGCACTGTTTGGGTGATGTAAATACAAAAAGTTTCCAGTTTGCGGATCATTTCGCGTTGTTGTGTAGTGGGAATAGGTATATTGAGGCTATAAATTGTTTAAATGGTAAGTTGAATGAATTCAATACGATGCTAAATAGCTTAAATCTTAATATAAATGTCAACAAAACGTAATTTCTATTAATGAATTCCACTAGTAAGAAAGTATTTTCTCTTAGACTGGATGGAGCCGAAGTGCAGCAGGTTAGGAATATCAAATGGTTGGGTAGGACTATTTCTTCTAATGCTTCAATTAGTCCTCATGTAGATAGAGTAAAGAGTGCTGCTAGTTCAAGTAGAAATCTTATCAAGATCCTTACGACTATAAAAGGTGGTTTGGAACCCAGAGTTGCGATTAACTTCTACAAGGCCTTTGTCAGAAGCAAAGTTGAATTTGCCAACACTACATATGCTAATGCTCCCCGAGGGTTTAATAAGAGGTTGCAAGGTATTTCAAATGATACGCTGAGGAGGTGTCTAGGTCTTCCTCCGAGTTCTCCTATTCACGCGAGATATGCACTGGCTGGGGAGCTTCCGCCTCTCAAAAGGGCTGAATGGCTTACTGCCAAGGAGTTAGGTAAACAATGGATTGTGAATGAAGAATTAAGAAAGGATCTGGTTAGTGAGTACCCTGTTAAGTCGAGTTATAGTTTTGTTTATTCCAAATTTAAGAATATTTTTAACAAAATCAATGTTAATGTCTCCTTTTGTAGACATGCTAATTTTAGTGTGGAATTTTCTTCTTTGGTTAAGTCTAAGAGAGAGTTTAGTAAAGAGCAACTTACTAGTATTTTCAGATGTAAGTTTGATGAATTTGCGAAGGAAGGTTGTTATATGCTGGCGACTGATGCATCTGTAGTGAATGATGTTGCTGGTATTGCTTTTTATGATCCTCAGGAAAAAATGTATAAGATGTTTAAGTTGGAGGGGAATTTTTCATCTACTTTTGGAGAACTAGTAGCTATTAGACAAGCAGTTTGTTTTTTAATAAAACAAAACATAGATAAGTGGGTTATTATCACGGATAGCTTAGCGGCTGTACAGTTGCTAGGAAGGAGGGTGTCTACAAATTTTATAGTGGCTTCTATTCACAATATGATTGCGAACTCGAACTGCATTAGTGCCAAGTTGGTGTGGGTGCCTAGTCACGTTGGTATTGGGGTGAATGAAAGAGCTGATGAATATGCAAAGGCTGCAGTCAGTGAGCGATTGACGATTAATGTAGATCTTACCTTGGGTGAAGCGTTGTGTAAAAATTTTAAGTAATATTTGGACAGAGTGGGAAACAGAATTTAGAGACATCAGCATTACAAAAGGGAGTTTTTTTGCTGGCAATATTAGTGATATTAAAAAGCGTCCTTGGTTTATAGATAAAAAATGTGATTTAGGTGTTCATAACATCAAACTTATTAACAGGTAGATGATGGGACACACTTATGGCAGCACTTATTTAAGCAAGTTTCAGAGAGGTATTGACGATTTATGCGCAGTGTGTAGAGTTAGAGAAACAAGCGATCACCTTATCTTTCATTGTAAAAAATGTTCAGCTGCTAGAAGCACTTATACCTTTTTTAATAGATGTAATAATTTAAAAGTTTTTTAATATTTCTAATTTGTCTCTTTTTAGTGAGCTTATACATTTTCTGCATAAGGTAAATCTGGACAAAATCCTATAAAAAAAATTTTAATTATATAAAATATATGCTTTTTTGAATATTTGGATTTGTCTAGCAATAGACCTTTGTTTAAATTTGAAAAATAAAAATACGAGAAATGTGGTTAACTGAATATATACAATTTTATGTTCTAGTATCCTAGATGACTGATTAATTGAATATACTTAATTTGTTGTTCTATCTTATAAGACTGTCATGATTTAACTTTTGACCTGTGGATGGTTGTGAATTGCACCTTTTAAGTGCGTAGTATAGTACAAAGTTTAGTAATTAAAAAAAAAGAATAAAATAAATAAAAACAGAAGATTTTATAGTATTAAGAAGGTTATATATAAGGGAAATAAGAATTAGATTAAAAAAAAAATTTGAAAAAAAAGATAAGAGAGGCTTAGACTGATGTAAGTTTTTCTTAATTCAGTAGTGCCGGAATTATTTGAATTGTCTATTTTCATGTTAGGTATGTTGATTAAATTGGTATTCAGTATTTTTTGCAGTGTGTAATTTCCCTGTAGAGTTAATGTTAATTTTGCGTTTTAGTTTTTCTTTTATGTTTGTAAGTCACCACTCTTGTTCTTCGGTGGATCTTTTCTTCGTTGGACTCAATTGTGGATCTGCGCTTACGACAACGACGATGTTTGACAACTTTAAATTATTAGTATAACCTGGCCCCTGAGGTTATAATAATACCTGGTCGTTTTCAAATGTCTGATGGCATTGTTAATTCAAAAAAAAATAAGTAGGACTAAATACTGATTGTAAAAGTATCCTAGATACTTCTACCTAACGAAATACCGTGTGCTCAAGTAATACATAGAAAGTAAGCAAAAGGCTGAAATTGTTGAAGTTATTTTTTGCTTGTACGAAAAAAGTTGATTCTAATACGCCTGAGATATAAATTAATGAATAAAGATCAACAAAATATTAAACAATTTGTCAATAAGAGTTGCCGTAGCACATATGTATACATTGTATAGCATTGGTGTGATTTTGTCGTATGTACCATACAATTTATTGCTTTTTTTATGAATACGGCCCAATATTTTAACAAGGAGTTTGATCAAACTGTATGAAAATTTTGTCGTATGTGAAACTTTTCGTCACATACAACAAAATGTTGACCGAGTCGCTTGCGAACTTGCAAATACGACAAAATTTTACTCAATGTCTCGGAACCCAAATTAGATATCCGAAAACTGATAACACCAATCGAAAGATCTCATTTAAAAAAATAACACAAAATGACGCTTACGACAATATTTTACCCAGGCGACGATTTCAGCCTTTTGCTTACTTGTTGTGTGCGTGATTTGTAGTATCCCAGTAGCGGAATGGGTCACCGGTGACATCGTCACTAATGAGGATTTAGTGACATCATCGCACTTGCTGTGAATCCTAAACGACATATAGCTGACAATGACACTGGTCACAATGTCATGCAGGTGTACTCCTATTAGACTTATAACAGACAACGTCTTGCAGCGGTCACTTATAAAAAGTCCATTGCAAGATACTGTCGCTTGAATGTCATTAATGATCACTGCATGACCAAGTCAAGCAGATGACATCAACGACGAAATTACCATTTATCTGAAAAAGTCATGAACGACTTTCATACAAACGGAGCCCAAAGTAATTTAAGAGTATATTTTCCGTACAAGACTCTTAAGTGACTAATGCATGACATTCGCTACGGGGATGTCATACTGCCGACCAGCATTTAATGTGAAAATGTAACATACGACAAAATCATTTTATAAAAAAGTGGCTGTAAAAGCTGTATGGGTTACTGAAAATTTAAAAAAAATTTGGTTTCATACTTTTGATACTATGTACAATCAAGCATTAAAATTTGGCAAAAAACTATTGTACAGCTTTTAAGAAATTGTGACTGAATCTTTAACATCGATTTCCCAAAACCTGGCGAAAGTAACATACGACAATATTTTACCCAGGCGAAAAAACAATAACCGAGTCGAAATTTTAGATAATGCCATGCAATTTTCGACACGACTCGAGTAAAGTAGAGCGGGATGAGTATTGAACGTCATTTTCCATGTTTTGTGTACGCAGATTGCGAAAATGAGGCCAGTTTTGGAGTGGCGGTGTATTATATTCTTTAGAAAAATGTGTATAGCAGCTGCTTCGGAGCTGCGGAACCAATTAGAAATAAGAAACATTGCGTGACATTTACAACTTTGCCACCAAAGCGCCAGGCGTAGATTTAAATCCGCAAAATATCGGTTTAAATGCAATAACCGCATTGCATTATGGAAGAAATGGCACAGCTTGGCGTTAAAAAAAAAATTGGCTTTATTTATCAACCTCAGTATTATTCTCTGCGGCAGAACTTTTCAATTTGGTTTGAAACTGCTTATTAGCTTTTGCGTCCTCAATTGGTGACTCCAGTTCAATGGTGACAGGCCCATCATTTTGAATGTGTACTTGCATGTATGCGCCAAATTTGCCATCTATCCAAAAGTAAAAAATTAAATGGTGTATTTACAACTAACTTAAGAACATTTAACTACCTTTTATTTTCGTCGCATCATAGTCTTTTTCCAACCGTTTTAGAAACGAGTTATATAAGTTTTGCGCAGTGTCGCCTTGCATAGCCAAATGAAAATCAGGTTTATTCCCTTTAAGACGGTGATAGAGTGTGAATTGCGAGACGCACAATATTTCCAGTTGCTCATCTTTGATGCTTTTCTGCCAACGTTTACCTGCTGTATCTTCAAAAAGACGTAGGGCGACGAGCTTGCGGACGCTGCCAGTAATGAAGAGATGTAATTTGGTAGTTTAACCTTATTTGTATCAACCACACCTACAGATATTCCACATCCTTTTCCGTGTCCGAGTGCGTTATACCCACAAGCACGCATAGGCCACGTCCAATCGAGCTAACCAGCTCGTCGCCAACTTTAATGAGATTTTTGTGTTTTAGCTAGCATGATAGATTTTTATTTCATAACTTACCGGTTACCTTTGCGGCAGTTACTCTCTGCACAATGGCCTTCATTTAAACAAATTTGCTAAAAAAAATTCCTATATTTTCTGATTCTCAAAAGTCTATCGGTGCCTAAAAATGGCCCGCAGGTGGATTATGTTTACGTTTTCACAACACTGTGTAATCAGCTGTTGCCACGGATGCCACTGTTCGTTGTTTCCAACCAAACTTGGTTCTTTTTCTTTAATTTTTCTAATTTGGTTGTTTGGTAGTATATTCTCTGGTTTGGTTGTTTTTTTTTTATAGAAATTCTACCAAAACGTAAATTAATGTTGCTTTTCCACAACATTTTAATTAAAAAAAAAAACACGGCCTCAAGCTCAATCAAGCCGAATTTATATAAGGTGTTGTTACTAGCTCAGCTGATTTTGTGTATGTGTTCGCCGTACAGCTTCTGATATCAAATTGAAAAATTTTGTTTGAATTTCTACACACACCCTTACAGATTTTGACAGTTTATGCCGCCAAAGCAAAAACAAAATACATGTAGATTTTTGTTTTTGAACTCCTGCTATCGCCTTATATTAATTCGCCTTGAGCTCAATAAAGTTGTTGAATTTTTGTTTTTTGTAATAAGTTTTCCCTTTTTGTAATAGAGAGGTGGATAACAAATGTGGTTGTTTTTTCTTCAGATTTTGTTTTGTTATTTTTAAAGGAATGGCATCTGTGGCTGCTGCTGTAACATGTTTTATTATACGTACTGTACTTGAGTAGTGTTATGCAGAGTTTACACGTATGAGTTTAAGTTCTGTTTAATGCATACATTGGGGTGGCCGTTAATATTATGGAGAAAAATAAAAGTATTTGGATTCTCGGTGTCACCCCATAGAAATGTGCGAATATCCTTAAAACTTAACTATACAATGCTTTGAATCAATCAAAATAGATTCAGAGGTAGCTCAGAGCGCTTAAAACTTTCCATGTATTTGATATGGAAAAACACAATTTTTCGTAGAAATGGTATAGAAAATGAAAAATTCAATGTCAGTGAATATTTTATTTCTTCACTTTTTCTTTTCGGCGGCCGCTGAGACGTAGTAGTAAGCAGTGCGCGCTTCCACTCCGCAGCGCCAGGGTTCAAGCCCTGGTCGAGGCAACATCGCAAAAAAATTTTAGAAAAAAGGGTTTTTCTTAATAGAGATCACCCCACGGCAGGCAATGACAAACCACCGAGTGTATTTCTGCTTGAAAAACAGCATCTCGTAAAATTACAATCGCCGTTCGGAGTCGGCGTAAAACTGTAGGTCCCTCCACTATGTATGAAAACATCAAGGCGCACGCCACAATTCGGAGGAGAAGCTCGCCCAAACACTAACATATGTGTAAGCGCCAATCTATTTTTATTATTATTATTATTATTAATTTTTTGTTCGTAGGAGAGGGAAATGCTTTATGCACTGGCCGGGGGCGCTAGTCTCTATACTACCTTCTCCCAGTGTGGGACTCCCACATCTGGCACCGCAATTCCGNCCAAACACTAACATATGTGTAAGCGCCAATCTATTTTTATTATTATTATTATTATTAATTTTTTGTTCGTAGGAGAGGGAAATGCTTTATGCACTGGCCGGGGGCGCTAGTCTCTATACTACCTTCTCCCAGTGTGGGACTCCCACATCTGGCACCGCAATTCCGCATGTCTTCAGATGCAGGAGCGCGCTGCTAGAGCCTTGGGGCTGCTCTTTTGTAGGGGCGTTTCATTCGAATGTCCTCAGTAGACAACCGTCCACTCGTTTGCAGCGGAGTACGAATTTCACGTACCTCGCAACTGCTTCCCACTTTTCTGCACTGGAGATCATTACCCCAACTATGTTGTTCGGAGTTATGTCCCGTGTCTTTCTTCCAACATTCTGCGCGAAATCAAGAAGTGTTCGCAGGTGAAGAATGTGTGGTACACGTTATCTTCGACGTTTCCGCAGTAGGGACAGAACTGTGAGTCCCATTCTATGAAGATATTCTCGGAAGTAACCATGACCGGTGAGGAATTGCGTCAGGTAGAAATCGACTTCCCCATGCGGTCTGTTCAACCATGTTTGAAGGTCGGCTATCAGGGAGTGCGTCCATCGACCTTTTGTGCTCGCGTTCCAGTTTTGTTGCCACTGCTGGATCAGTTGCTCGCGCGCCCTTGCCGCGGCAGCTGCTCGACCTATCTCGGCACTGAGATTGTAAATCTCTTTTCACTCGTAAGCAAGTAGCTCAATTGGAATTACGCCAGAAATAACTAGAACCGCGTCCGCGGACATTGTACGGTATGCAGAAGCAATGCGTAGTGCCCCTCTGCGCTGGACCGAAGACATTTGAATCCGGTATTTTTTTTACTTTCAATGCGTCGCACAG